TGGGGTATTTGGAATGACTTGATTCATTGCTTTCCATACTGTTAGTATTCCTTAAGGGATATTTATCTCTTTTGCTTTTATATAAAGGACATTTTCTTGTTATGCTGTGGGTTGGGTGAATGCCTTGAGGTCCACATTTTCACTCAATTTAAATTTCCTATTATGTCTAGTCTCTAAGAGGACACTGAGAGGAGAGAGATTAATTTCAAGTAGTTACAACCACTTCAGAACAATTTCATACTCATAAATCTTTTAAAAACGTATTACAAATGTTCTCCAGAAATCCACTAGTCTGAGTGGTAAATGGGGGTGATTTTATTTAATTGGTTGATAAATTAGTTAATAAGAAAATAAAAATGTTTTGAAACTGTATTTGGCTTCGAACCTTTGTGGGGGGGTCTTATCCTGCATGCTAAATTCTCATGCCCCTAGGATTTAGTAGATGAAGTTCTCAGGTAGGCATGTGGATTTCCAACATCACTGAAGAGTTCTACCCATAGGTCATGGTAGCAGACCACTACGTATAGACGGTGAATGGAAAGATTTCTGTAGCCCCCCTCCACTGATCACCAAATATGAACTTTAAATTCTCCATCCCTAAATGTATGCTGCCCACCTGTTTAATTTTCCTGTCCTTTTCAACTGATCATTCACACCACAGGGCCCAAAGGGAGAGTAGGTTATACTCTCCTCTGTTTCTGTCCTGAATTCCCTGGTTCTGCTATTCACTATGATCATGTTGGGATCCTGATTTTTCAGGTGAACTTGAGATAACACAGTAAGCACTGGCTGAGATAAAAGTGGAAGTTTTTGTAAAGAACTCTCAAGTTCCTACAGGAACAAGATTCAGCTTAAACTCCTCCAGTTAGATCTCCATTTCTGTTCTTCATTTACATGTTGAGAAACATGGAGCACATTTAAACACCAGTTTACTCAGGGGTGTTTGTGTCTGCCAAGTCTAGACTGCCTTTTAAAGGTTTTTATGTGTCCAATTGTTCACTGTGTTTAACTTTCCCTTTGTGTGGTCCCTCCCTTTGTGGTGGTGCAGGCTCTGGTATGTTTCCTTATATCCTTCGTTCACAACACCAGAATTTCTGGGCTTCTCTGAATCTCTGACAGACAAATACTGATTTTTAATGATTTCCTTCATACACCCATCTTGTAATTAAGAAGTATTACTGTTTCCTCAATTCCAAACATCAGAGCAAGTGGGAAGTGTCTCCTTCCTCTTCTCACCGTCTGGGAGCCTCTGAACAACACACTGTTGAACAAGGACTGGATATGAGAAAAAATCAAGAGAAATGTTAAAAATTCTTAGAAACAAATAAGAATAATGATACAACATACCCAGAAATCTGGGACCCTTAGAATGCAGATCTAAGAAAAAATATAATGTAGTAAGTGCCTACTTTTAAGATAGAAATATCCTAAATAAAAAATCTGATATTACATCTCAAGGCCACAGGCAATGAGGATCAAACTACTTCTATGTCCATTAGATGATAGTACATAATCAAAATACAAACCAATGAAATAAACCCCCCCCCCAACTCACAGAATTAATATAACAAAGAGTTAATTCTTGGAAAAAATAAAGAGGACTGTTAAACACTTAGCCAAACTAATTATAAGAAAAAAAAATAAGGAACCATCTAAAGAAAATTAGTGCTACATGGACAATATAGCCACAGACATTTCTGAAATACAAAGGACCATTAAGGACTATTAAAAACTTATTTTCCTATAAATTGGAAAATCCAGATGGTATTGAAAAATTTGTAAAAACATGTGACTTACCCAAACGACAGCCAAAGTGTATAGAAAAGCTAAGTGGATAAAAAAGCAGTAATATTGAATTAACAATAAAGACCTTTGTGACAAAGAAAATTCTGGTACTAGTTGGATTTTTGGTTGCATTCTATAAGACCTTTAAAGAAGAAAACTTCTCAAGACTCTCTAACTTGTTTCATGAGATAAAAAGGGGATAATATTTATTACAAATTTATTCTATTAAAGCAGAAACACCCTGATACCCAAACCAGATAATGACAAATAAAGGAACAAAAACTGCAGGCCAACATCCTTGCTGTATCTCATGGCAGATAAAAAAGGACTGAAAGGCAAAATTAATCAGAAGAGACAAAGAAGACTAGTTCATACTGCTTCAGGAATCTACAGATTCAATGCTATCCCCATCAAAATGCCAATGAAATTCTTCACAGAACTGGGAAAACAGTCCTAAAATTCATTTGGAAGAATAAAGATGTAGAATAGCCAAAAATCTTGAGCAATAAGCACAATGCTGTAGGCATCAAAATGTCCTTCAAATTATATCACAGAGATATAGTAACAAGACCAGTATGGAACTAGCATATAAGTAGACATGAGGACCAATTAAGCAGAACAGAAGACACAGAGAAAAATCTGCAAAGATACACTCATGATCCTTGTCAATGGTGCTGAAAACATATAGTGGAGAAGATATTATTTTGAAGAAATGGTGCTGGGAAAGCTGAATATTCATATGTAGAAGAATGAAATTATATCCGTACCTCTCATCTGACATAATAGTCAAGTCAAAGTGGCTCAAGGACATAGAATTTAGAACAGAAATTCAGAAACTGCTAGAAGAAAACATTAGTTCAACATTCCAACATATTAGTGCAGGTATTGATCCTACAGCATAAAAAATAAAACAAAGAATCAATAAGTGGGATGGTATGAAATTTTAAAAACAAATTGCAGAGCACAGGAAACAAGAACATGAATAGAGATTCTGCTGAATAAGAGAAAATATTTGCTAACTGCTCTTCCTACAGGGAATTAATATTCATTATACATAAAGAACCCACAAAACCTTAAAATCAGAAAAACACACGATAAATAAATGAGCAAAACAAATAAGACCTATTTCTCAAAAGAAGAAATACAAATACATAAAAAAGTTCAATATCCTTAGCAATCATGGAAATGCAAATCAATGCTACACTGGGATTTCATCTCACCCCAGTTAGAATGGCATTCATCAGTATACAAATAACAATAAATGATGATGAGAATGAGGGGGAGAGGTATACTTATACAATGTTGGTGTAACTGTAAATTCCTAAAACCACTGTGGACATCAGTATGAATATCACTCAGAAGACTAGAAAAAGAATCACCATGTGACTCAGATATTCCACTCCTCTCTATCTATCCACAAGAACTAAAATCAGCATTCTATAGGGATACATGCGTACCCATCTTTATGGCAACACAATTCACAATACCCAAGTTATGGAACCATCCTTGATGTCCATCAACAGATAAGAGGATAAAGAAAATGTGATACATACACAAAATGGAGTTTTACTTGAACAACAACAACAAAAAAATGAAATTATGTCATTTTCTGGGAAATGGATGGATCTGGAGCACATCAAGCTAAGTGAAATAAACCATTCTTAGATCAGTGGTCAAATGGTCTTTCTCATCTGCAGAAATGGGAGAGAAAAAAGGAAATAAAAAAGGGATCTCACAAAAATTTAAACGAGACCCATAGAGTAGTGAAAGGAAATGTAAAAGTAAACAAGGAGACGTATGTAGTTGGAAATAAAATCAACCAAATTATGATATTGCCATGATAAAAGGTACCACAATGATTCCATTTTATATATATAATTAAAATCACTAATTAAAATATAATAGAAGAGGGACCAGTGGAGGAGAGGAAGGGGATCATGGTGAGGGAGTAGAGAATAGAGAAGGGGAGATACTGGGGAATAAGGTAGATCAAATTATGCTGTGTGCATCTATGAATACCAGTATCATATATAGATATAATAGATTAATAAAAACTTTTAAAACTAAGTTTTGATTTGATTCTGTTATTTCTTATTTTAGGGACCTGATAAAATTAATATTATTTTTAGTACAATTTGTGGTAACAACCACTGTTATGCTCTCTCTCTCTGTACTTTTTAAAAAATTAAAATACATAGTGACTATGAAGATGCTTAATGAAAACTAAATGTATTTAATAAACATGAAATGACAAAACAATAAAACATTTTCCATCACATCAGGAAGCACTTGAAGATTAGATAGCCACAACTATGTCATGTATTTTTGTGTATAGCTTTCAAAGAAAAATGCCCAACAGAGAATATTTGGGGGATTTGCAACTTTGGAGGTGATAAAGGATGAGAGAAAGAACATATTTCCATCTATAGCTATTTAATGAAGGAGCAGCACTGTTTATCATGTTGAAAATGAAGGCAGCCTGGACACCTTATAGCATTTTTTTCCACAGATCATCTTCCTTTCCTTTCTTTAGAAAGCCTAAGACAGGCTTTTATGCTCCTCCTCCCAAGAGGCTGACTCAGTGGAAGAGGCCTATTTGGTGAGAAGTGATTCTAAGAGATGATTACAGATTAAGAGAATGAGATAAATTCAGATAGACAAGAGTGTACCCTGTGGTGCACTCATTCATGATGTCATTCATCCTCATAACAAATCTGAAAACTGGTGACGTTGCTGTTCCCATTACATAGATGAGAGTGTCCAGGCAGACTGAGCTGTTTGTGTATCAGATTCCACCACAGTGGCAGGAGCAGGAGTGCTTCCAGTCTGCATGGGACCTTCAGTAAGCAAAAATATTTTGGGGGTTCTTATTTTAGGAAAAGAACCCTTTATAAATCAGCATTTCTTTTGCCCTTACAAAGAACTTGAATAAGGTCTGAACAGCCAAGTGTCCCTCATGCTCCAGTGCTATGGATGCCATAGTCAAGGTGTGTCCAACCAAGAAGGCTGCTAATAGGAGGGACTCTGCCATCCCAGCTGTGCAGGTCTACTGCATGCAGGCATCATTTCCCATTTGCCCAGTTATGGTACCAGGCAACATGACAGTGTGTTTCTTGGCTTAATTGAGCCAGTAGTAGTATTAGATTGAAGGAGAATGAAGGTAATGTGGTAAATACCATGTGAGAGTTAACTACACTTCCATTGTCTTTGATCAGGTGGATATCCGAGTCAGCTCGGTGGCTGATTATCAACAACAAACCCGAGGAGGGCTTACAGGAACTTAAAAAAGCTGCACGGGTGAATGGAATGAAGACTTCTGCAGATGCCCTAACCATAGAGGTGAGCAGGATGGGAGGTGCTTATGTGACAGGGAAGACACACTATTAATAGGTGTCCAAAGATGCAATGTGGTGTAATTGAAAAGATTTGGCACAGAGATTTTATTCAGAGGAGGCAAAGAGTTCCAATTTTTTCTTCCTTTTGGTCCTCAAAATTAATTCACACATCTCCCTCCACAGGATTTTAATCTTTTTATTTGACTAGTTTTTAATTTGACAGATAACACTGTATGTTTTTATCTTCACAATGTGATGTTTTGAAGCCTACAGGGTGGAATGGTTAAGTCTAGCTAATTAACCCAATTAATTAAACTAATTAATAAAAGTCTCAATAAACCAACATGTTAGTTAGCTTTTGGTGTCAGTGACCAAGATACCTGAGAAGAATGATTTTGCCCAGGAAAATTTTACTTTGTGCTCACAGTTTCAGAGGTCCCAGTCCATCGTCAGTTGACTCTATAGATCTGGTCCAGAGGTGAGATGGAGCATTTTTTTGCAGAAGGCATTGCAGAGGAAGGCTGTGCACTTCATGGTAATCAGGAAACCAAAATAGAGGAGATGGAAATAGAAACAAACATATAATTCCCAAGGTATTTCCCTAGTGACCCACTTCTCCATCTACACCCCACCTGCCTATGGTAAACCACTTTGCAACCCATGCAAATTTTTGAATCCTTCAAAAGGATTAATTCACTGACTATGTATGATACTCATCATCTAATCATTTCACCTCCCCCAATAACAGTGGAACGTTGCGGGGGGGACCCCTCATATCCAAACCATAATAACCAATAATAAATTTAAATGTTACAAGTCAAAAGTGCATTTAATATATATAATCTACTGTATATATACACACACAGTACCTGGTGGAGTGTAGGTTGTTACCATAAAGGTTATGTTGATGAGAACTATGGCTCCCTGCAGCTGTCTAACATGTTAAAAGAATATCATGCAGTATCCCACAGGAAATGATCAAAATTCAAAGTGTATTTCTGTAGAAAGTATATTGTACTTTCACTCTGGTAAAGTTAAATAATCTTTAGTTGTGATATAATCAATTTTATTTACTCACTCATCTTTATTTATAAATTAACTTTAATTTTGGGAATTGAACCTCGTGGTGTTTTTCCACTGAACTACATTTTCAGTCTTTTTATTTCAAGACAGGGTCCTACTAAGTTATTGAGGCTAGCCTTAAACTTGTGATGCTCCTGCCTCAGCCTCCTGATTTGCTGGGATTACACGTATGCACTATCAAGCCCAACCTATTCACTCATCTGTTGATGAACACTTGAGTTGGTTCCATATCTTGGCTCTTTTATATACACTGAATATAGCAATTCTATTTTTACTTATTGAAGAAACTTCACATTATTTCCCATGATTGTACTAATTTGAATTTCTATAAATAGTGTGCAAAGGTTCTCTGTTGTTCACATTCTCATTAACACTTGTAATTCTTTGTAGTTTTTTTTAATAATAGCCTTTCCAAGTGGGAAGAAGTAAATATATCATTGTAATATTTTTTTCTTTTGCTAGGGATTGATCCCAGGATTGCTCCATCACTGAGCTACATCCCCCAGTATCTCCTCCACTTTCTTATTTTGGGAGAGGGGAATCACTCAATTGCCCAAGCTGGGCTCAAATTTATAATCTCCTACCTCAGTCTCCCAAGTAGCTGGGCTTACAAACACATGCCACCATGTTCAACTTCATTGTAGGACTGATGTGCATTTACTGTGTGCTTAGTGATACTGAGTATTTATTTTTTTACCTATTGCCCATTCACAGGTCTTCCTTTGAGAGGTGTCTGTTCAGATCTTTTGCCCATTTTTTTTAAATCAATGGTTCCCACTACTGCTTATAAGGATCCCAGTGTGTGTTAGGGAGGTGGATGCTGCAGCCTAGGAATCTGTATTTTGAAGCGTTCCAGGTGATTCTGAAGATTGTCTTCCCATCTTAATTTCAGATTTTTTTTTGTATTTTAATTAATTTTTGGTTATTGAGTCATTTGAGTTTCTCATACATCTTGGAGAACAACGACTTATCAGAGCATAGTTGACAAATATCTTCCTCCCTGTGTATTTTGTTTCTTCCATATGTTCCTTGCTTCCTTTTTGTGCAGAATTTTTTTCTAATCCTACTTGTCAATTTTGACTTGTTTCTTTTTGCGGTCTCATCTAAAAATTCTTTCCCACACCACAGTCATGTAGTTTTATTCCAAGTTTTCTTCTGGTAGTGTAATGGCTTGGGGGACTTCCATTTAAGTCTGAAGTCTATTTTGGATCAATTTCCCTATGTAGTAAAGACATGGGTCTGACTTTTTTTCCAGCATATCAAATGGGCTTTATTGTTTTGAGATATGATCCTTGAATACCTAATTTGTTGAGAGGTTTTATGATGTAAGGATGCTGAATTTCATCTGATGCTTTTCCTGTACATCTTTAATACAGATTTTACTGTGATCTGTAAGTTGTTCTTTGTGTTTCTGTTTCTTTTGTCTTGAAATGTAGACATGTGTGAAGGAAGACACAATGACAAAATGGTATGTAAAAAATTCTTAGCATCACTAAGCATAAGGGAAGTAGAAATCAAAACCACATTGAGATATTACCTGTACCTGTTAGGAGAGCATTTATTAGATTAAGAACAACTAATAATGAGAATGTGGATAAAAAAAGAACCCTTGTACACACTGCTGATAATAATGTAAATTGATGCCACCATTGTTGATAACAATATGGAAATTCCTCAAAAATTTGAATAGAATTATTTGATCCAGCAATCCCACAACTTGGTATATATCCAAAGGAATTCAAATTTGGATCTCGAGGAGATCTCTGAATTCCCATATTCATTGTGGAAATTCATCAGATAAGTAAGTTCTAGAAATCCACTGTATGGCATTCTGACAATAATAAAGAATACTATATTATGTACTTCAAAATATCCAAGAGGTCAGATCTTGTCCTAACTGTTCTTATCAAAATAAATAACAAAAATGAATACACAGGGGAGGAAGAAATTTTGAAGGGACTCAGCATATTGATAGGTTTTGGTGACAACTTCACAGGTATGCAGTTACTTCCAAAATCATTAAGATGCATTGTTAAATATGGGCAGATTTTTCAATATTGATTATATATTAAAAAGAAATTTGAGAAGCAGAAAATAGTTATCATCATCTTCTATCTATGAACAAGTTCACAAACATTGTCCCAAAGCTCAAATGATTTGTTTTATTACTCAACTGGCACTGGAATGTCAGTTCTTTCAGCTTCCAAATGCATCCTGCCTTGGGTCTGTGTTTTGCCCTCTTTCCCCATAGCATTTTTCCTTTCTCGCACTTCCTTTCTGAACATGTTCCATAACTCCCTGTGACAAATTCTTTGACAGATAGGGGACAGAAGCATTTCCAGCTCCTGTCTTCAGAAAGATCACCCATCCTCACCAGGTCAGTGGGCTTGATACAGCCTTTGAGCAGTCAAATAATGTGGCAAAGTGAATCCCAAAGAGGGAAACCTAACCTCAATGTAGAGATGGAGGCTTTGAATGCATCTTGAAAATTGTAGTGTCTGAAATGTGTCTTCGAGATTAGGGTAGAACCATCCAGGTTTCAACAGTCAGGGTATATGGTTATTTGCATTTGAGTAGAGTCCAAATGACTTCAGAAGGGCAAAGTGACTGGTGTCCTGGTAAATGTTTAACTCCAACATTCAAAGATTTGAAAATATCCTAGAGTCCAGAATTGTAGCAATTATTAATTTCTGTGGATTGCTAAATTCCACCAGAGTCAAATTCCAGCTAACCTTATGATGTCAACAGGCTCTTAATCATTAAAAATTTAACAAAGAGCTCTTATAAATCAGTATGAACTGACTTCAAGGCACCTATGTTGGCACACATGGAAAACTGAGACAATTTCAGGCTTTTCCCCAAATCATGGTGTGATGATGGGCATAGAAAGGAAGTCACAGAGAAAGATACATTCATAAAATGTGAAGAACCAGCATAACTCCCATTTGAATAGGTGCTGCTTCTTCCCCAAATAAGGGTTACCAGGAAGGACAACTTGTAAAGGCCCCAATGTCAGCTAGCATTACCCACCTAAATATCTCTTGGAAGCTCCACTCATTTCTGTAAGCTCATCAAAAATTTGTAACTGGTACCAAATTAAGCCAGTATGCCCTGATGTTTGACTTTGATAATGGAAGGGTTTGAAGACCACTCTCAGGCATTGCAGCCCTCATCTGAGACAGATTTAAGGTCTTCTTGCAGCCAATTCTTATTAATACCACAAGAACAATGACTAGTGGTCATGGGTTTATGTGTTTGGTGCAGAGGGTATCACCACAGATGCCTCTCTAACACAAGCATAAATCCTGTTTCCACTACTGAAGCTAGGGCTGAAAGCTGTCGGGCCATTCCCAAAGGTGTAGAATTCCCCAGTCATGGGAGTAGGTCCAATTCTCTGAATTCTCTTCTTCACAAAATTTTTCTGAAGACGTTTATAGTATTATCACATTTGTAGAGGAGACATGGCAATGGAATTAATATCTCCAAATAACTAATAAATTAATAATTACAAGAGTTCTGGTAGAAGTAGTTTGTTATGCACATTTATAAATAACTATTACTACTAAATAGCCTGGAAAATGTTTGTGAGAAGGGCGTTTTTCCCCTACTTTTCCTGATCCTGACTCTTTTATTTCTTCTTTTCAATGACAAAGAAATTGAGGTAAAGTGATATCAGTCACCTTGCCCAGGGTACACAACAAGCAATTGGCAAGTCCAATGTAGCACTTCAGTATAAAACTCAGCCTGAGCTTAAATTAATTTAAACCAACATCATCCATGATTCCAACTCAAGTTTAATTCCAGGTCCCTCTTTCATGGGGACACACCATCCAAGTTATTTTATAAAATAGGATGACTAAAAAACTAAGAAATAAAAATAAAGAAATAAATTGCCAGGAAATAATTCATCTTCCTGAGACAGGAGAATTATTTCCCCATCATTAGTAACTAATGGAGAAAAAAAACTCTACTACCTACACTTCTATAGCCATCTAGTATGAATGGGGCTTTGGATTGTAGGATTGTAGTCTAACTCATCATGTGGTTTCCTTTCTCATATAAATCTCTAACATACACTCTCTTTTCAATGCTGTATAATCCTCTCCAGTTTCCTGCTAATGTGTCTTCATTGCACAAGTTCCCTGAGGTTCTGTGAACTACTGAGTTTGCCTAGCACACTGCTTTTATACCTTCTATTATTTCAATGTCTATATTTTCCACTAGATAATGAAATTATTGAACTTGCTCTCTGTGTTTGCTTGGTGCTTCCTCAATACCCATCATTTTCTGACAATGGAACAATTTGTTGTCTCTGTTATTAACTGAAGGCTGTGAGATCCACCATGAAGGAGGAGCTGAAGGCAACACAGACAAAACCTACTCTGTGCGACTTGTTCCACACACCCAACCTGTGTAAACGGATATGTCTCCTGTCCTTGGTGAGGTAGGCTTAACACCATGCTTACAGAAAGAGTGGAGAAAGAATGTATTCCTTCTTTCAACTTGTACAATATGTGGTGAGCACAGCTTTGGAGATAAAAGATGAGGAAGACATAAAGAGCACCAATATGGCTGTGGACAGTCAGAGGGTCATGTAAAGACTGACACAGAACCATTGCACAGTGAGGAGTCCTGTTTATCATATCACATAGCTAGGCTCACACCAGAGACTGATGCTGCAAACTCCAGCTATGAACAGACATTGTCTTTGATTTTCTTCATTGCTTGCTTTCATTGTTTGCTTTAATGGAGGTAAAATTTCAAAGAGTGAATTGCGTAAATATATGTAATTCACTGTATATTTACATATGTAAAGATATTTCCAACACTCAGATCAAGAGCTGAAAAAACTCTAAAATCCTAAAGACCCTTAAGGATTGTATTGTATTTCCACAATATCCCTCACATCTCCCTAAACTAAACATCCCTGATGGCCTCCAGCATCATACATTTGTTTTAGTACAGTTAATAATTAAAATAATCACTCATAGGCACATATTCCAAAGAAGAGATATGCCTGTATGTTTTAACACCAACAAATGACTGAGCCAGTATTACCATTATCTAAAGGATATAAGTGCTAATCCTTGTGGCATGTGTCTTTCCTGTGTGTTTGCTACAGATTTGCAACAATCCTGCCTACTTTTGGCTTGATTCTCCACCTCCAGCACCTAGGGAGCAATGTTTTCCTGGTCCAGGTTCTCCTTGGTGTAGTCAACCTCCCAGCCAATTGTGTTTCACTTTGGGCACTGAAACACAGGGGCCGTCGTATAAGCATATTTTTTTTCATGTCCATGATGGGAATCACTTTTCTGGCCATCATATTTGTGCCTTCAGGTGAGGAAAGAGCACGGGGGGGGGGGGAAGGATATATGTTCCTCACTTCCCTCAGGATTTTTCAGGTAGCACCTACAGGAATCAGAAAAACTGGGTTCTAAGGTCTCCCTGACACAAGTTGGGCATTTAGGACAGATTCTGCCATTAGGTTGCTAGGAAAACAGCCAAAGGTCAGTAAAGTTTGTTCAGATGCCTGCTTCTCTTCATTATTGTCAGTTAAGTACCTGGAACATGGTGCCACTGAGTTCTGAGTTTCTCTAGGTCAGCAATACAACATTTATCCATTGGCCAATCACATTTTCTTGCAAACATGAAGAGTCTAGACTTACCATCATGAGCCGCACTGTACTATCACTTCCTCTGCCTGGCTCTGTCTTATTACTTCACCTTCAGTGACAATTTATTCCTGAACTCTGTGTGTCTACACATGAGTCTCATGGTAGGTCACCAGAATGCAACCTTGGATTGGAGAGTTGTCTTGACTTAAGGAAATACAACTCCTTGTGTTCAAGTAGAGAAGAGGTGTACAGCAGCAACAATATATCCATCATCATGCATTGCTGAACTCCTTGTGTTGTAATGTGTTTTACAAAAATCCCACAATTGTGGGCTCTCCTCCTCCTCCTCCTCCTCCTCCTCCTTCTTTTCTCTCTCTCTCTGGTACATACCAGGAGCTGACTGTATTGGCACTTAACAACCGAGCCACATCCCCAGCCTGTTTTTAGACAGGGTCTTGCTATATGGCTTAGGGTCTTGCTAAGTTGCTAAAGCTGGCTTTGAACTCTCAATCCTTCTGTCTTAGCCTCCAGAGAAAATGAGATCACAGGTGTGTGCCATCACACCCATGTATAGGCTCCACTTCTCTTGAATGTGAACAATGATGTCAGTTTGCTACTCTGCAAGAAAACCTTCTCCAAGATTTCAAGCTCTCATGAGATTTTCTTCTTAGAGTAGGTAACTGAATCTATGAAAGTTTCCTTCAGTGGTATCCAAAGTGTGACATGTTTTCCATAAGAGAAGTCCTTTTTCTTGAGTCTTGATAAATTTTACTAGATCAGGCTATTCTCCAGCTTGTCCATTAATATAGTGTTCTTGTTCTTTTATAACTGTGTTTTATGAAAGAGCAAGACACCCTTCAGTAATCCTGACACCCTTCAGTAATTCCCATATGACTGTCCTATCTGCCACATAAATGGTACAAGAGACACTGGAAAGAAAAAGAATGTGAGTTCCTTCTGCATTCAGCATCCTCTCTCCTTATTTGACAAACTTGGGAAGGCAAGGAGAATAAATTAAATTATTGAAAACATTTTATTCACCATAATTTAAAATACTCAGGTAAGTCCCTTAGGTTTGTCACAAACTTCACCTCTGTACAGTTTATCTATAGTATATTTTACACTGTGAATATCTCCAATAAGGGTGTATTCCATTTGGATTTGGGGGATACCAATACCTTCGTCTAAGATCCTGACTCTCCTGGATCATCTTCTTTCCAGAAATGCCGACTGTGCGTATGATTCTGACAACTTTGGGAGGAGGAATTTGTTTTGCCTCTATTACCTGTTGTTTGACCCAGGCAAATGAACTGCTCCCCACCATCATCAGGTACAAAATCTCACAGGTTCTCTATCAGGGTAAAAAGGGCCTGTTTCCAAATCATTGACTTTTCAAGCAAAGAAAACACAAATAATCAATGGTGTTGATAACAATTACAGCCACAGTTAGCTTTTTGCTAGGTACTTTTAGGTGTGATAATATACCACCAATGTACATCTCATGTATTCTCTGGATTCACCTAAATTTGAGATTCACCTATTTTGCAACTGACAATATCCAAGTTATGGATCCAGCCCAGGTGTCTATCAACAGATGAGTGCATAAGGAAAATATGGTAAATATACACAATGGAGTTTTATGCAGGCATAAAGAGAAGAGAATTATGTAATTTACAGGTAAATGGATGGAATTTGAGAAGACCATGCAGAGTAAAATAAGCCAGACTCAGGAACTCAAGGGTTGAAATGTTTTCTCATATGTGAAAGCTAGAAAGAAAAAAGTGGGGAACCATGAATTTTCAATGTAATTGAAGGAAACTTCTAGAATAGGGGATGGGAGAGAGGCAGGATAGAGGAGGAACTGTAAAATGAACTTGACAAAATTTTGTTCATATACAAATGTATCACAAAATATACTATAATTTGTATAATTGAAAAGTAGCAATAAAATAAAGTAAATGAATAATAAAATAAAATAAATGAGAAATACAGCAAAATTAAATAAATGAACAATAGTATTTCTAAATGATAAAACATGTCTTAATACTCTGTAAACTTGAGAAAATTTGCTAGCAAACCAACAAAAATTTCAAAAGCAAGTGTTAGACCATGACACAAGAAAAGACCACTGACTCCAATTAAAATCAAATTAAAGCAAGCTTATTATTTTGACCGGCTGGGCTGCCTCTCCCACCCAAAACCGTGGGAACAAGACAGCAGCCACAGCTTTCCTGCAGCCCAGGTTTATAGCCCTGAAAGTTACACAAAGGGGGGTTACAGATAACAAAACTCTAAGGAGCATAACACTAATCGTAGTTTACATTTTTGCTGGCCCCGACATCAGAATTTATGAAGATCATTAGAGTCTCAGAGAGGGTTTTTATCTAGCCAGGGAAGGCCAAGATTTGTGAGGCATCACTAAAGTTTTAGAGAGGGCTGCTATCTGGTCAGAGAGCCAGGCATGGGTGAGTTCAAGGCACAGGCAGGTATTCCAAGTAGGTTCAGAATTTGCAGTAATTTATAGTAAAGCTGAAATTATCTTTCCATGGCTTTGTGGCAAGATGGCTCCCAATTTTAAGAAAAGATCAGGTTGGGTATATCACAAGAGCATATCATCAATCTTCTCATGACAAAGCACATCCCTTATTGTCTCCTATAATTAATGCATGAAGGTGACACAAACCCATGTGCATTCTCAACAGATTTATTATGCCTTTTTGTTTGTGCTCCAAGGGCAACAGCTTTTGGAATCATTGGAGTTTGTGGTAGTTTGGGGGCAGCTGTGGCTCCCCTGTTGATGACCCTGGAAACATATGCTGAACCCTTGCCCTGGATCATCTATGGAGCCTCCTGCATCTTTGCTGGCCTTGTTGTCTTCCTCCTTCCCGAAACTAGGAATCATCAACTGCCTGACTCCCTCCAAGACATAGAAAATGGGTGAGTGAACCCTTTCATGGTCCCTTAGAAGAGTTATGTACCATAGATCTGAGATGAGAAGACAGATTCTACTGGGGCCCTATGTCTCTGGAAATTGTAGACTTACTCTCTTTCCATGTGGTCAGTATCATTGGTTTAGTAAAAGCAATATCCTTTAACCAGTGATCTCAGATATTCCCCTGAAGATTTCTAGATCATGCCAGCCAGTTCTTCCCAAACTGCCCCAGTAGGTTTAGTAGTAAATACATCACAATTAGATCTACTCAGTCCTTGCTGCTACAGTGTAACTGAAGGTATTTCCCAAACATGCACATATACAAATGACAAATCTCACTCTCTATGTCCTACTATCCTGTAGCCCAATGACAGCTGGTAGCTGTCTGGCACTGTCATTTCTTATAGGCTTGAGCTCTCCCCTGGACACTGAAGAACCCAGGGGTGATCATTACAAGACTAGGGTCCCTTCCATAGCTGACAATACATTTTAGGGGAGGAGTCTTGTTGTGTTGCCTGTGAGATTCAGACTATCTTGTTTTCACCAGGAATGAAAGTGTTCAGAAAAGAGAAAAATGCAATGGTAAATAAAGGAATTTTAAAATGACGAATGATTGGAAAGCTTTAAATTTTTTTGTACTTCCCTGGTTTTTCCAAAGACTTCTGTGGAGAATGACATGGTGCCCAAGGATGGAAGTAGAAACCATCAAACCTGCCTTCCAAATATTATAGGAATATTTGACTTTTACTTCACAATATTTACTGAAATCCATGGGCAGGTGTCATTTTTTTTTTTTTTACCAAGGATGGTGGGGAAAAGGATCAGCTTGCTGTAAAGAATGCAGGAGATACTGCTTTCTCCATGTCCTTTCTTGTTTGTATTTCTTTCATCATGTATTTTTTTCATATCTGTTCTAGTGGGAAAGGCTCAAGAAAAACAGAGCAGGAAGATACCTCCATCAAAGTGACACACTTCTAAGGAAATTCACAAATGGGATACTGATCAAGAGCAAGAAAAAGAAGAAATATAAAGAATACTCCAAGACATCAGCAAAAAATTAAAATAAATAGACGCAACAGAAAATCCCCATTTATAATGGTGAATCTAAATTATTGTATAAAAGATACTTTATGAATCACAAGAAGTTGAAAGAAACTACAGTACTTTGAAATACATGAGAGAATATTTATATAGTATAGATACCTATAATGTTTCTGAATAGGGAGATGGAATTAGCTTTAAAACATTTTTCTTTCTGAATTTATAGGAAGAGTATTCTTACTTAAGAATATTCTTAAGAGTATAATTACAATGAAGAACCCAACACTCTTGAACAGACTTGAATCTTAGTAGTTCCAAATACATGTAAATACCAGTATGTGAGTCAGCTTTCTGTCACAGCAACAAAATAAATTGAGTTAAATGACTTAATTCAAGGAAAAATTTATATTGGCAATGGTTTCAGGAGTTTCATTCCATGTTTGCTTTGCCCTGTTGCCTTGGGTCTATGGAAATGGAAAGTATTATATTGGGGAGTCCCTGGTGGAACAAACCTGCTCATCTCATTGAAGACAAGAAGAGAAAGGAAGATATGAGGATCTCAATATCTCCTTCAAGGTCACACTCCCACTGATTTAAATCACTTCAACTACAATTTTTGAAATATTTACCACCTTCCAATCACACCACCAGCTGGTGGCCAAGCATATAACACATAAGTATTTGGGGCACACTTCAGATCTAAGCTTTAACATTCTGCCCCCATGCCCAAAATTTCATGTCTATCCCATAATGCAAAATGCACTGAGATCAAAGATCCAAAGGCTCCCTTCGTCTTAACAGTTTTAGCATCTCCAGGATCAAAGTCTCTCCTAAAAATCAGGGCACATTCTTAGCTTTGAGTCCCTATTTAAAAAGTTATATACTTCCAACATACAATGTGGGACATAGTCAGGAGACACGTTCCTATTCCAAAGGGGGGAAATAGGTGCACAGAAGGGACCAAAATTCATCAGGGTATAGATTAAATCCTGTGATTCCATGTCCAGTATTTCAGACACAGGGTGTGATTTGAGCTCAAAAGAACTGGAGCAGACCCACCCTTGTGGACTGCTCATAAGGCGACTCTCTTGGGCTGGATCAGATCACTGATGGCACCCTCCCTTGGCAAGTGTTCTGTACTTCTGGACCCTTCAACTTCTTGGAGTCTCCACAGCAGCTTCACCTTCACTCTCACAGTTTGACACATCATTATATTAAGGGATGTTTACAGGGCTTCCAACCCCACCACAATCTATGTGTTTTTATTAGTGAGTTTATGCCATTAACATTTATTTATGCCATTAACATTCAGGGTTATTTTTGAGACATGATTTGTATTGCCAGGTATTTTTTGTTTATTTTTGGTATTTAACTTGACTTGGCTTCTCCCTTGATTCACTTTTTCTTTAGTGTAATACATCCCTTTGCTGATTTTCATTGTTGTTTTTCATTTTCTCTTCATAGAATATTTTGCTGGGGATGTTCTGTAGTGCAGGCTTTCTAGTTGTAAATTCTTTTAGCTTTTGTTTATCATGAAAAGTTTTTATTTCCTCCTCAAATCTAAAGCTAAATTTTGCTGGGTATAAGATTCTTGGTTAGCATGCATTTTCTCTCAGAGCTTGGAATATATTGTTCCATGATTTCCTGGATTTGAGAGTCTGCGTTGAAAAATCTGCTGAGATGTGAATTGGTCTCCCATATATATGATCTGATTCCTCTCTCTTTTGGCCTTCAAGATTCTATTTTTATTCTGTATGCTAGACATTTTTATTATAATGTGCATTGGTATAGATCTATTATAATTTTGTCCATTTTATGTCACATAAGCCTCTATTTTTCCAATTCATTATTTATGTTGGAAAATTTTCTGATATTATCTCACTGAAGAGAATGTGCATTCCTTTGGTTTGAAACTCTGTGCCTTCCTCTGTCCCAATAACTTTTAGATTTGGTCTTTTGATGCTATCCCATAATTCTTGGATGTTCTAATAAAAGCTTCTTATCTTCACTGTGTGGTCAACTATTTTTTAGATTGTATGCTTTGTCTTCATTACCTGACATTCTGTCCTCCAAGTGATATAGTTGGTGAGGCATTCTATTGAGTTTTTAAATTTGGTTTATTGTTTCCTTCATTTCAAGGATTTTTTTTTCAGAATCTCTATCTCTTTCTTGAAGTAGTTTTTGCTACCTATATTTGCTCCCTTATCTCTTTGTTGGTGTGATCAGTGGATATATGTATTTGGTCCCTTATCTGTTTATTGGTTTCATCAATGGTTACCTGTATTTGCTCTCTTATCTCATTGTTGGAGTGATCAATTTTTGCCTGTATTTGCTTACTTAGGTCATTCATTAATTCACAGATCATTTTAATTATGAACAGTCACCTTCTGTGACATTTCATCAACTGACAATGGGTCTGTTACTGTAGTAAACTGCTTTGTTTGGGGCACTTTCCTCCCTAGTTTTTTCATGTTGTCTATGTGTCTTCCTTTTTTGCAATGTGGATCTGAGATAATATAATCTTGTAGTATTTGTGCAGATTATCTGTACCTCACCTTGGTGTTAGTCTTCCAGACCCTTCCGGTGTCCCAGGGTGTATGCTACTGTAACTAAAAGTGATGGCGGCAATAGCAGAGGTCACTTGAGATGGCAGTGGAAGTGCCCCAAGATGGATGCAATATCTTTCTGGATTGGGGCTTAATAGGTGGGCCTTACACTGGCTTTGGGATGCCTGCTTCAAGATATAGCTGCTTCTAGGCTCTGTCTGTTGTCACACGGTAGAGGCTACTGTGTGGGGAAAGCTCTAGGGATGGCTGCAGTGACCTAAGATTGAAGTGGGTTAGGCCTGGGCTCCCAGGGGTCAGGGGGCATACCTGGGCCTACCCTGGGCCTGGGATCCCATAGGTCAGGAAAGGCAGTCCTGGACCAAGGCCTGAGATCTGGAGGGTGTCTCTGGTTGCTGTTTTTGTCAACTTTTTTTTGCCACTTACAGGAACAACATTAGAGGAGAAAAAGGTTATTTGGGACTTAAGGTTTTGGATGTTGCAGTCTATAGATGGCCAACTTCTTAACTTTGAGCTTAGGCAGAACATTATGGTGGAAGGGCACAGCAGAGAAATAAAGCAGTTTAGAACATGGCACCAGGAAGCCAAAAGGAAAGAATAAGAAGGAGAGAGAGGAGCAGGAGGAGGAGGAGGAGGAGGAGATGAAAAATAGTGAGGAGAGAGAGAGAGAGAGAGAGAGAGAGAGAGAGAGAGAGAGAGAGATAGATCTGTTAAATAAGGACAAAATATAAGCCCCCAAAGCACAACTCTAATGACTCATCTCCTCCAGCCATAACCTACCTGCCTACAGTTACCATCCACTTCATTGATTTAAGTATGTTAATGCACAGATTAGGTTAAGGCTCTCATAACACTATAATTTCACCTCTGAACTCTCTTGCATTGTTTCACATATGAGCTTTTGGTGGACACTTAATTTCTAAATCACATTTGCCATCATGTTCCCTATACCTGTTGGTCAGTATATAATCTCTCAAACTCTGAATAGACCACTGGATTTTAGACTTCTCTAGTTGTAAATGACCTTTAATTGGTTAATTTCTGAACATAGACATCATGCTAAAGATTTTACTTAAGTGATATCAGAAAGAAGGTTGGGCAGAAGTGCCTGGCATACTTTTATCTTTGAAAAAGGAAGAAACAAGAAAACATAACTGGATTGTTTGAGGTATAGTACCATAACACAGTAGGATGTGATAGAGACACAGTGGATATTAGAGATCCAGCAGGGTCTTATAAAGAAGGAAATAAAACACAGAATATATCTTTTCTGACTCCAAGAGTGAAGAAGCACAAGCAGAAATGGCAAGCAGGAGATCCCCTAACAGTCCCAACTAACACTCATGAAAACCTGAAGTATTTGCTTCTAGAGAGGGCTGCAGCCCTCATAGGACCTCAGTTTAGCTGTATTATTTCAGACAGCATTCTCTGCCAATGCTGTGCCCTTCTACAGCCAAGCTTCTGCTGCATAGTAACATCTCAAGACTCCACAAACCTGTGATCCCATAAATCAAGTACTTGCTTTTACTCACCCATCTTCAGCCTATGAAGTACCTAGGCAGCTGCACCCACCCTTCAGAGGACCCATGGAGCAGACAAGTGAATCAGCATACCCTCGTGTAATCTTGACCAACTTCTGTGGTATAGGAGAGTATGTGTGTTCTTATCTAACTATCCTCATTCAGGTAAACAGGCAGGTAACCCTAAACAGCTCATCCCACCAACATCCTGAGAGGCAGACAGGTAGACCTGCCCACCTGCCTTCAGCCATGGGAAGCACACATTACCTGCCCCAATCCACCAGAGCATCCCTGCATCCACACAACCTATGGAAATTGAGAGCTGCCTCACATCTGAAGCTGCATGAACCACACACACAGCCACTGACAAGTCTCAGCTACACCCCACTAAGAGAGATACATCCTACCTTATGAATAAGCCCCAAATTCTTGTATTCTGGGCCACTGAGACAATAACAGACCTCACAGACATGGATGGCTGGTGAAGAATGTACATGTAGACTCTACCACTGTGGCCACCTGGTATATCTAATGCAATCCAATGAAATCAACCCAACCAACACCATAAAATTATTGCCAAAATAAAAATTTTAATGCACTGTTGAGAGCCACAGCTGAAGGGGCCCCAGCAAACTTCCAGCTGATTGGCTCACAGAGGCCCCAGCAAACTTCCAGCTACCAGCTGATTGGCTTCTCTGTGGTGATGCTCATTGGGCTGTTTCCCCGCCCTTTCAGACCACAGAGCTGCTCATTGGGGACTCTATTGGCTCTGCCCACACAACTCAGCCAATCGGCCTCAAGAGCAGGAGGAGGGGGGGTTGAGAGGCTCACTGGAAGCCAGTGGTGGCAGTTGGGCTCTGAGGGAATTCCTGAAGAGCTTGTGTGGTGTGGCGTGTGTGTTCTAAAAATAAAGTTTGTTTCTGCTTGATAAGTGGCTCATGAATTGTGCCCAGCCAGACTGTGGCATTTGGTGGCCCACACAGGGAACGACTGAGGGTAAGTGATAAGGTAAACTGCTCGCCCCTGAGGGCAGGGCGAGAGGATGGGTAGCCATTTTAAGATTCTTCTTTCATTTTGTTTCACTTTTGTTTTAAGTTGCCTGTCCCTGGAGATGGGTGAGATGGAAGAAAAACCACTCACATCTGAGGAAAAACTATTTGCATCTGAGGAACAGATGGGGAGAAAGGATGGATGGACATTTCAGGAGGTAGAAAGGCTGATATAATGATTTTTTGTTCCATTTTTGTTTCATTCTGTTTCGGTTTTGTTTGGTGTTATCTTGTTGGGTTGTGTTATAGTTATAGTAGAAATATGGGATCAGA